CAGAACGGGTTTATTGTTCAACGACAACAACTTTTTTTTTGGTTTCTTCATTGGATAATCTCTTTCATTCTAGGTCAAGTTTCTTCACATACCATTCCACTACCTAAACACACACAAGCAATAAACTTGAAGAACAATTCAAGAATGCAACAATCAAGTAAGTGAAACAAATAAATCTCTTAACAATTCTTGAATACTTGAAGAAAAAACATAATCCACAACATCAAGATGTGTATTCAGTCTACTATCTAGTTTTGTAATTTAAATCTTACAGACTCTATTTTGATTTGTTTGATATATAAAAATCAACATGGAAGTAAATTTTGTTCCGGAAAAACAAAATTTGTAAGTACTCATATTATGGTGGAACTTCTGACCAAGTAAACCAGGTTAACATGTCAATAGAAAATTATAAATCTTTTCAATAATTCTCAACGTTTGAATAATTCTGCAGATCAAAGTTCTCTAATGTTTTGTTAGATATTTATGATGTTCGAAATTCGAGTTCTCTCGATTCAAAACCAATGGGTAAATTAGCGATTAATGGTTCTAAGAGAGATATATCAAAGAAAGAAGTCCTAAAAATTCAGCTTCTGCAATTGCTCAGCAGGTTTGATTCTGTTATTACCTGAACAGAGATATGTTGGACCGAGTTGTTCTATAGGGAGATGATATCTCTGAGGATCACATCAACTCATATGTGAAACCTTCAGAAGAAAAACCGACCAAGAGTCATCGCATAGAGCTTTTCTTCGGTTTCTTTGTTAGAAGAAGAAACCTGTTACAACAGAACTTTCAACAGAAAATCCAAAGATTCTTGCAGGAAAATGCCAACAGATCCTTAAAGAACAAAACTTTTTGTCCAGATGGAGATCATTTTAACATTCATTCAACTAATCTAAGCAACTTCAATAATTGAAAATTCGTGTTTTCATAAAGAAGATGTTTACATGAACAAAAGTATACAGACAAATCAAGAAACTAAGAGAGGACAAACATCTGGCTAAATCTCTCACACTGTTTTAACTGGATAAACCAGAAACTTTCAAGCAAGCAAGTAAAATGTATACATCTTTGAGGCGTAAAGACAAGAAAACAAAACAATAAAACCGACTTTTTTGCCTCGCGTAAAGTGAAGAAAAAAATCTTACTTCGCCATTGAAGCAACAATCTCCTCTAGCTGTCTCCAGGTTTCTCCATTCTTCTTCTTAGTATCCTCTGCTTTTTGCTGATCTTCTTGGAACTTGCGCAAACATTCTTCGAATAATTCTGGATTTGTATCAGACAAAACTTTGAGAACATTCTCGGTCAAGTTTTTTACAGCCTGATTCCAATGGCTACTACCGTTTTTCTCCAAAGCAGGAAACACTATCGGCAGAATGACTCTGCTGTTCTGTCTCACCAAATTAGTGACATGATCGTTGTTCCATAAGTATAAAGCCCGTTCCGCTACCTAAACACACGCAAGCAGTAAAATTGATGAACAATTCAAGAATCTAACAAACATAGCAGTAAGTGAAACCACTAACTCTCTAACTAACTTTTACCTGAAAATGAGAACTGCTCAAGCACTGAGCGATTTGGCGAGCGAGAGGAACCATACACCGTTCAAACTCTGCTAACTGAGTTGCTTCTAATATCTCCTCCAATTCATTCAAGAACATGATTTCTTTAGCGCTATTAGTAACCGGCCAGTACTTCAATAACCCTCTAATAACGGTATCAGCGAGCTTACAATCTTTCTCAACAAACTGTATCACACAGTAAGAAAGCTGCTGATGGTAATTCGGTAAGCATTTCAGTTTGTGTAGAGGAATCAAGACTCGAGTAAGGAAGAGCTTGTGTTCTTCCTTGAGCGGTAAAGCGAATCCATTGATGATGGATCCCAAAACTTCAAGAAACTCTGCGATTCCCGAGTGTTTCCCTGTCTCAAATATAAAATCATACAAGATGTTGTTCATAGTTTTCCTGATGAACGGGCGATGAACCATGAACCTCCCGTAGATCCGGTGAAGTATTGTTTTCAGATACTCTCTCTCCCTCGGATCTTCAGAATCAAACAAATCCAACAGCTTGAGAACGAACGTATGATCGATGTATTTCTTGGATATCTTGGCGTCTGTATTGGGAGATGCAACGATTCTTAAAAGGAACTCATAAACCATCTGCAAGTGAGGCCAAGAAGGATTCAAAGATCCTTCCTCTTCTTCCAAATCCAATCCTCCTTCAGGAGTCTTGTTCTTCCATTGTTGATGAGGATTACTAAAGAGATTCGCCGCAATCATCTTTGTAGCTTCTTGAATAACTGATTCAGGGAATTTGCCATTACCTGAAGAGATAACATAATCCACAACTTCAAGAAGTGTTTGCCTTTTGATCTCTTTCTCCTTGAGGTTTTGTTGAGGCTCAACGACGAAATCAAACACTACACAACATAATCTAAGCTTCTTAAGAAACAGTTCTTGCTTCTCTGAGACTGAAACATCTCTCAACCTAGGCAATACCTCAAAAGAAGAAACAGAATCCAAATTTGATGATGATCTCTGGCTGCTTAAAACTTCATCAACTTGATTGTTGCTGTTATCTTGAGTTTGGGATTCACCATTATCCCAAAACTTAGCAGATGGTTTCTTAGGAAGCTTCCCAAGTATCTGCTTAAACATCTTCCGATCTACAGAGTCAAAAAAATCAG